TATTTTTATACATTTCAAAATAAGTTACAGACACCAATACACTTACCCTGAAATACTCCAATATGCATATCATTACCTAAAGTTTAATATTTGTAATTTGCAAATTATTTTCTTTTGAGGTAACATTTACTATACAATGAAATGCAAAAATCTTAAGTAAACATTCACTGTTTTCACAAATACATCTTTGTAACCCAAACATCTATCAAAATATAAGATACTGTTCCACAGAAATATAATGTAAGCCACATATATAACTTAAAATTTTCTAGTAGCTACACTAAGTAAAAAGAAACTGCTGAAATTTATTATTTATCACTTTAAGTTAAATTTATCCAAAATATTAGAATCAAACACATAATAGTAAAATATTACTAATGAGATGTTTTATATTCTTTCCTACCAAGTCTTCAAAATCTGGTGTGTATTTTACACTTGGAACACATCTCAGTTCAGACTAGTCACGTATCAAGTGCTCAACAGGCCCATGTAGCCAGGGGTCCTGGCATGGGATGGCACATATAGAATATTTCAACTTCCCAGGAAGGCCCCATGCCCCCTCCACCCAGTCTCCACACCCACCCCCACAGAGGCAACCATCATTCTGGGTTTTGTCCCCCATCATTGTTTAGCTCTGCCTGTCCTAGCATTTCATGTAAAAGGAATTGTACAGTATGTAGTCTTTCGTGTCTAGCTTCTTTCACTCAGCGTAATGTTTCTGAGATTCATTTATGCTATTATCTGTACTCAGAAGCTGGTAGTTGTATGATTAGTCTGGTAAGAAACTGCTAGACCCTTTTCCAAAATGGCTATACCATTTTATATCAGCAATTATGAGTTCTGAGACAAACCATGAGAGACTATGGACTCTGAGAAACAAACTGAGGGTTCTAGAGGGGAGGGGGCTGGGGGGATGGGTTAGCCCAGTGATGGGTATTAAGGAGGGCACGTTCTGCATGGAGCACTGGGTGTTATATGCAAACAATGAATCATGGAACACTACATCAAAAACTAATGATGTAATGTATGGTGATTAACATAATAATAAAAAAATAAATGAAAAAAATTATGAGTTCTGATTCTTCCACACTCAGAATGGTCAGTCTTTTCAATGTTAATTGTTCCAGATGGTATGTAGTGATATCACCTTGTGGTTTATTTTGCATTTCCCTAATAGCACATGATGTTGAACATGGGCTTATTGGCCATTTGTGTTCTCTTCTTTCAAAGTATCCAAGTCTTATGCCCATCTCAAAAATGTGCTTGTCTTTTCACTAGTGAATTCTTTATATCCCAAATGTCAGTCTTTTGTCAAATATATATATGCTTTACATATATTTTCTAATCTGTGGTTTGCTTATTTGCCTTCCTAATGGTCTCTTTGGATAAGCAGCAGTTTTAAATTTTGTTGAGGTTTAATTGATTAATTTTTTTTTAAAAGTGTTGTTTTCTGGTCCTAAGAAAGCTCTGCCTATCCCCAAGTCACAAAGCTATTCTGTTTTCTTCTGAAGATGTCATTGTTTCAGGCATTATAATTAACAATATGATCCCTCTTGGATGAATTTTTTAAAACCTTGTGATATGTATATCTAGTTGTTCTAGTACCTTCTGTAGAAAGCTTCCTTTTCCATAGGGTTCCTTTGACACATGTTGAAAATCAAACGACCGTGTAAGTGAGAACCTCTTTCTGTGCTATTGATGTAGGTGCTGAACTTCACTCTGTATCATCTTGTCTTAAAAGCTGTAGCTTTATAGTAAGGCTTGAAATCCCTCATTCTAAATCCAACTTTGTTCTCTTTTTGGGGTAATATTACTTCAGATGTTCTAGATTCTTTGCATTTCCATATAATTTGATAATTAGTTTGCCAATTTGTACCTAAGAAGCCTAGTAGTGTTATGATTGGGATTGCATTCTATCTACAGATCTGTTTGTGGAGAACTAACATCTTGCCAACGCTCATCCATCCATCTCTTCCCATGCAGAAACATGGTATGTCTATACATTTCTTTTCTTTTTTTTTAAAGATTTTATTTATTTATTTGACAGAGATAGAGAGAGAGAGCACAAGTAGGCAGAGAGGCAGGCAGAGGGAGAGGGAGAAGCAGGCTCCCCGCTGAGCAGGGAGCCCGATGCGGGACTCGATCCCAGGACCCTGGGATCATGACCTGAGCTGAAGGCAGCTGCTTAACCGACTGAGCCACCCAGGTGCCCTATCTATACATTTCTTTTGCTAATTTCTAATTTCTACCAAAAATTTTTAGTTTTTAGTATACATGTTTTGCATATATTTTGATAAATGTTTTCATAAGTATTGTATGTTTTTTGATGCTATAGGAAATTGAAGTTAAAACATTTATTTTCCAACTGTTTGCTAATATAAAAAATACAATTAATTTTTATGTAATCATTTTGTATGCCATGATCTTGGTAAATTATCTTACTAGTTCTAATAGCTGAAGATACTCTAGTCTTTCCCACATACTCATATCATTTACAGATAGAGACCATTTTATTTCTTTTCTAATATTTATGCCTTTTCTTTCTTGCCTTTTGTACAAGATATACAGTAAAATGTTGAATTTTTAAAAAAGATTATGAACTGGTATTGAATTTTGTCAAATGTTTTTTCTGTATCTATTAAGAAAGTTTTTTTTTTTTTTAAAAGACACTTATTAAAAACCTGTCCCAAACATCAACTCAAACCAATTTAGGAAATTGTTGTTAATTCAATCTATCCCCTACCTACAACCGTCCATTACTATCGTGCCATGTGGCTTTTGTACAAGACCACCACCTGGCGGATCAGAGACAAAGAGTCGGCTCAGACACATACCTTCCAACTTTAAAGCTCTCATTCTCTCACTAGCATCATGCTACCCTTAGACAAGCTGGATTCTTATAAGAATTCTTGTGACAAGGCTTTTAGTTTGTTTTCTCTTTATTTTTATGGATAAAATGCAACATACATATTATACTTAACAATGAAAGGTGGGACGAAAGAATATTAACTTTTGAGATGGGAGACAACATAAAACATTGGCATTTCTTGTGACGTTAAATTTCTAATCAGATCACATTGTTTCAGAAAATAGTTGGAAAATGACTGAAAGAAAAGATGTTGTTTTTAAATTAAGGTATGTGTATGTGTAAAACTATTCAAAATGTTTGAAAGAAACATTTTAATCTATGTCATATTATTTTTTTAAATGACATATTTATGGAAAACAGTTGAAAATGTCTGTCAGAAGCTAGGAACTATTTAATCCCATAATACATATTCTTTTCAGGCATATAAAACATTTGTGAAAAACAGCTGAAATATGCTTGAAAGAAAGAAGGGATGTTTTAATCTCATGTTAACTTTTCAGTCAAGTGCAATATGGGGAAAGCAGTTGAAAAATGCCTGAAAGAAGAGATGACTATTAATTCCCATACTTGAAAACCTGCATTGCAACAATGGTGAAACACACAAGACAGTGACTAAGGGACATGAATTCTCTCAGAGTATACCACAGGTCACAGTTACAGAGTATTTTTGGCTTTAAAGCTTGCACTAAAAATATTTTACATCATTAAATGTGTATTATTAAATGTACACTGAAAGCTAACTGAAGTGACTTAAATAAGATGACTCAGGGACAGTTTGTAACAAAAACTGTTAAAGTCCATTAATTTTTTTCCTAAGAAAGGCAAGTGAGGTAGTTTATACTGTGTACACATTGTAACGAAATTAATATTCCAGTTTATTTGAAGATCACTGGCTCTAAGAATCATATCCCCCAATTAACTGCTTAACAAAGGGATCCTCTTTCACAAAATGGAGGAAACAATGAGCCAGCTCTAGGGTTTTTTCTGAATAAGTGTCACTAAAATGTTAACTTTCTCTAATACCTTCCTGGATATTATTTTCCTGACTGTACACCAAGAGCACTTGGGAGGAGGTGGGTGGGAAACAAGTAAGAACTGAATCTAGAAAGCCCAGGATCTGACTCTTCTTTTGTTTGCAAATATACTACTCATTTTTACAGACTACTGTAACTATTTTAAAATAACTTTTGATAAAGCAAAGATAGTTTCAATAATTATTTGACAGACATTTTTGAATTGTAATTGTAGGGGTTTGTTTGTTCTTTAAGAATAAAATTAGTAAAAAGAACCTCTACTCATACAAAAATTAGTCTCTGTGTCTACTGAAATTCTCCTCTAATCACTTAGTTAATCCTGTGACAAAGAATAAAAGTTATATCCAAAGATCTTGGTATTGACATGGCCTTCCATATTACAGTTATTTGAAAGTTGTCACACACACTTAAATACATTCAAGTGATTAATTTAAAGCTATTGAGTCAGCTAAGTCTTCGACATCTGACACCACACAAAAGTAAGAAATTCAGAAACAGTTGTTCACCTGTCATCTGTCAGCCACTTATTTAAAACTAATGACAAGTGGAGTAGATCTTAAAACCTTTAGAACTTATATATAGGTTCTAATGTGTTTTCAGTCCAAAGATGGGAAAACTCTCAAATAAAAAATTAGATCTGTAAATCTTCTATAAAAAAAATCTTCTACAATAGAATTTAACTATTTGAAACTATAGGAAACACAATGAGAAAAATCAGTCCCCATTTTCATGTAATACAGAGAAATATAAGATAGCTAATTCGAAGAATTTCTTCCGTGTGTGGGTATAAATTACTGCCATCTTATGCCCTGGAAGTTAGCAACTGCACAAAGTAAAATGTTTCCTCCTGTTGTCTGAATTTCAAAAACAATAAAAGCATTTTTTCAGACTCTTGAAATGCATTATGTAAACTCACATGCCATCAATTAACCAAACATTGAAAAATGATGAAATGTAGGAATAAATAAAAACCTACAGGATACATGTTTATCTTCTAATGGGTTTTCAGGCACAGGAAATAAAAATTCTCAAACAAATAAAATGAATGGATATTTGAGTTTTTTATAAAAAATATAACAAAACCCTAATGGCCAGAAACATAATTATCTACATGTTGAATATAAATAATGTTTTTAGAGATATCTAGGCATAATAATGCTGCATATAAAAGATTTCTTTTAGGGGTACCTAGGTCGCTCAGTCGGTTAAGTATCCGACTCTTGATTTTGGCTCAGGTCTTGATCTCAGGGTCATGAGTTCAAGTCCCGCGTTGGGCTCCATGCTGGGTGTGGAGCCTACTTTAAAAAAAAAAAAGAAAAAAAAAAGATTTCTTCTATATGTGGGCTTGAATTATTATCACATCATGTTTTGAGAACTGTTAAGTAGAAACATCGGTAAAAACATTTGGTTTCCAAAGCATTGGTAAAATGTTTTCTGTATCTGTAACTTTATTGTTCGAACTGCAAAAGAGTCATCTGGACATTAAATCTCATTAAAATTATTATAAATTCAATGAAATATCAATCTGTGGATTCTAATCCAAAGCACACATGTAGGATAAATGAGACCTCTGTCCCCATTTCTAGCTAGCCCTAGAACTATATCTGCAATCTCAAGATGAAAGGCAGAGCTGTCTGACCGCTCAGCACATGGCAGATTTGCTCTCCATTAGATTGTGGAGAACAGTGTGTTCTCATCAACTGCAGGTCTGGAAAATGGCTCTGCAGGATCTTCATAGCAAGAATAGTTTCCAGCTTACCAAATATGCATCTGATTTTAAAGCCTGAGGCTAATCCATAGTGCTTGGCCATGTCTATGATTGATGAACAGAAATAATTTGCTTTTACAGCATATAAAATCTGGATATAACAGTATTTTTCAGTACTTTTGGATGAAGAGCAGCTGGATAAAGACAATTCTATATTTTTAAATTGGGGCTACAGAAGTGACTATCTATAGTTGTAAAATATTAAAAAATGATATGTTTGATCAGGAAAAGAAATCTGTGCCTGGCACAGAGAAAGTTTTTCATTGAGCACCATAATCATGTTGAAAAGATAGAGGTTCTGTGACTATTAACTACACAGAAGGTTATGAAAGCATAAGAACACCCTCTGTCATTTGCTATGGAACCTGTGCTCATAAGAGAATAAGCTTTATAAATATCAATTTTCAATAATCTACAAGAGAGAAATGTTCACTTGCACCAGATGCGGACAGTCATAATACAGTACGACATACTTAACAATACAGTGTTCTTTCAACAGAAGTTCATCCTCCTCCAATTTGGGAGCAAGTCAGAGCAACAATATTGTATGCATAACTTTAGAAACTGATTCCCTTTGAAAAGCAGATCTGAATTATTTTGCAGAGCAGAAATTACTGATATTTCTGGCATTGTTCAGAAAGGTCAACATATGTATATAAGATAAGTATAAAAAAGACTCTCTTCCATCTCTTGTGTTTGGTAGCATCTGCTACAAAAAGGAGTGTTTTTTATCTTTAGGTATAAGACAAAGTTCATTTCTGCTGTGAAGTCAAAGTACTAGAAATGATTAGAGTTCCATATGCTAGATTGGCCTTTCTTCTGGAACAATCACAGCGTCTTTCCTTCACCATTATCAAGGAACCATAGGAGAATGCCTCAGCTCAGTAAACCAGCTCCTCCTCCACAGTTCATGTTGACAATGCTGGGAGACACCACTTGGGCTGAGAAACACCAAGAGGGTTATTGGAACAAACATGTCAAAAACAGTCTTGTTATTTTCCCTACCAAATGTAGAATCTTCTTGGCATATAATACATGATAGCTGCCATCTTGGGGATTATTTCAAAAACTTGGTTGGGGTTTAATCACCCACTCTGCTTGAGGATTTACATGATATACATCCAATACATAAGCGTCTGGATCCAAGCAATGCTGCCCTAAAGGAAAGAGAAAATCAGAGAATGTTTCTGAGAGTGCACACTTCTATGTGTGCATGTGCATGTTGGTAAGGTTCAAATAAAGCCAAGATAGTTCTCTCAGCCAAAAGTAAGTAGATAACATCTTAAAGGTTCTTTAGCAAAGCCAGTCTGCCTGCCTGCCTTGTTCCTTCCCTTCTTTGTTTCTTTCTGACTATGAAATACTTCAAATAAATCACATGTAAAATTGTGGAAAAAACAGACATACCAACTATAGAAAAATTGTTCCCTAGACTCACCACATCAATTAGGAATATATGGCAAGAACCTGTCTAAGGTATAAACTGATCATTTATATAACAATACATGTCCTCTAATGGTTTTGCAGACAGTAACTTGACCAGGGCTAGAAAAGATTAAAATCAAGTTCATTTTAGGAATGGTCATTTTGTTTCTTTACTACGGATGCAATGCCCATAGGCAGGAAATCTAGAAATGAAAACAAAAAGATCATTCCATGAGGCAAATACATTTGAAAATCTTTATGTACAGTGTGTTTGAAATGTATACCAAAGTCTCAAAACTACCAATATTTGATTGCTTGCTTGCTTGATTCATTCATTTATAAAATACTTCTTGAGCATTATTATATGCCAGGCACTATTCCAGGGGCTAGGGCTACAGAAATCCATAAGATAGTCAAAAATAGTTGCCCTCAGGGCACTTATATTCTCAAAGTGGTAAAAGACAACCAGCAAATAAGCAAGTATAATATAAATTAAGTCTGGTGGTGACAAGAACATGAGAGAACAACAAAGCTGGGAAGGCACACCTACAGGTGAGATCCTGGAAGGTCTCTTTGAGAAGGTGACACAGTGGCAAACACCTGCAAGAGGTGAGGGAGTGAGAAGTGAACACTCTAAAGGAGAGCATTCTGGGAAAAAGAGTAAATGCAAAGGCTCCAAGGCAAAATGCGCCTGGTGGACTGGATCTGCAAGGTTGATGCTGCAAGTGGAAATCTGGATATAATTTGAGAGGCATCTGCATACAGGTATATTTAAAGCAATGAGATGGACTGAGCTCACCAAGGAAGTTACTTGAAGAAAGAGTTCTGAGGCTTGACCCCACAGTTTTCCACATTGAAGGTTGAGAGGATGAGAAGTAGCAGGCAAAAGAGACTCAGGAGCTGCCAGTGAAGTGGAACAAAACCCAGAAGCTTAGGTTGTCCTTGAAACCAGGTGAAGAAAGTATGTTTTCAAAGAAAGGAAAGATCAACTCAGGCAGTTATCAAGACAGAACGAATGACTGGATTTCACAACATAAGAGTTCTCTGGTGGCCTCAACAAGAGCAATTTTGGTGAAGTGTTGCAGGGTAATGCTTGACTGGAGTGGTTTCAAGAGAGAACAAGAGGAAAAAATTGGAGGACAGAAAACAGATTCAAGGAGTTTTTGCTGTAAAGCAGAACACAGGAATGAAGTAGGCTTGAAGGGGGTCAAGAGAGAGTTTTGTGAAGATGAGAGAAATTACCAAAAATGTTTATGTAGTGGGAAATGATGCATTTGGGAGTGAAAAGCTGATGGCGCAGGAGAGAATGGGGGGCTAGAGCAAGGCCCCGAGTGGCAGGCGGGAACATGAAGTAAGGCACATGTGGAGGTGCTGGCCATTAAGTGGGAGTTGGGGTGGTTCATCCAGACTGTGTAGAGGGCAAGCAGAAGACCTGAAGGGGAAGGCAGGATACAGACGCAAGCAGAGGCAATTTCCATTTGATTCCTTTTTGTTCCCCCTCGGGAAACAGGGAATAATGAACCTGGGCTGAGGGTGAAACCAGGGAAGTTAAACAAAAAAGGTGTCACAATGTCAACGTTCCATGATGTTCTCTGTTTTGCAGGGATCTCCAGGAAGAGACTTTCCAACCCTGAGGCACACCTGAAAGACCCAAAAGTCTACTCAACTAAAATATTCACAATTAAATTTTGAAAATATTTTGGGAAATTCATACAACTGTTCTCACATGAGATTAAAAATTCAGAAACTTACCGATGTTGAATTTATATTTAAGAAGCTTATAAAATATGGTTTTACAACAACAGCATATTTTTTTTAGAGTGATCAGAATTTAGGAGTAAAAACCATTAGAGAATACTTACCTATATTTCCTCCAATTTCATATAACCGTTGATTCTGAATCTTAATGCATTCTGATGAACCATGACTGAAAAAAAAGAAAACAATGTAATTTAACCTTCTTCCATGATCTGAGGTAAATATGTGGATTAAATAACCATGGCAACAAACAATTCTTCTGCCTTGAATGAAATATACCCATAAATCATTATGATTAAAGTTATGATAAAAAACAATTTTATTTGTTTGACACAGCCAAGCATCCAAGGCACAGCGACGATGGGACTATTCCAAACCAAGATGGACGCTGCTGTGCCCTACAGCAACTTGGAGCCCATTCTAGCCACAACTGTCAGGTTCATTTAAGAGCTGACTGTTACAGAGACACCAGGGCTGGTGAAGGAGCAGGCTGGATCTTTAATACTGCCCTGTCACTGGTCACATTACTCTCAGTTCAAAAGAAGTCAGGTTTCATTTCTCTTTTTGCCAAAAATTGAATGGGATTCTCTCCACTGTCCATGCCACATTTCTAAACTTGCCTAAAGCTTTTCAAACTGCTTAATGTTGACTTCATTGCATGTTTCTGCTCTATAGTGAGAGCAAGTCAGAGAAAATAATTGCCCAATTGCATTTTTCCACCCCAGTCTAGAATGTTGCAGTAGAGGAGTGGTTGATCTTCATCTCACCTGAAGAATAACTTTCAGCTTCGTTACTTCAAAAAGATTGACCTCAGCTCTTTGTGAGGAAGAAAGATGTGTGACCTATTTTGTTTGTTTAATTAAACATTTTGAGATCATTGTAGATTTGCTCATAGTTTTAAGAAATTGCACAGATAGATCTTGCAAAGCTCTAGTGTGCTGTCACAACCAGAATGTCAACATTGATTCAGTCAAGATACAGAACATTTCCCTCACCAACAGATTTCCCCCTTGTTTCCCTTTTATAGCCCACTCACCTCCCTCTCTGTCCTCCTTCCTACCTCCATCCCTTATCCCTGGTAACCTCTACTCTATTCCACATTTTCTAGAAGTTTGTTGTTTCAAAAATGCGATATAAATGGAAACACAGAGTATAGAACTTTTTGTATTGGCTTTTTTTTCAATCACCATAAATCGCTGGAGATTCATCTAAGGTGTTGCATTTTATTGCTGAGTAGCACACCATGGTATGGATGTGCCAGTTTGTTATTTACCTGTTGAAGACCATCTGTTGGGTTTTTTTTCCAGATTTTACTATTATAAATGAAGTTGCTATAAGCATCTGTATACAGGTTTTTGTGTGAATATAATCTTCATTTCTTTGGGATATATGCCCATGGGGTACACTCAGTCCATGGAGCGTATGACTCTTGATCTCAAGAGTTGTGAGTTCAAGCCCCACATTGGGGGCAGGCATTACTTAAAAGAAAAAAATGCCCAAGAGTGTGAAAACTGGGTCACATGGCAGTTGCATATTTAGTTTTATGAGAAACTGCCAAACTATTTTACATAATGACTATACCCACCACCAATGTATGAGTGATCCCAAGATCTCTGTAGCTTTGCCAGTATTTGGTGTCATCACTATTATTCGTATTAGCCATTCTCAAAGATGTTTAATGATGCCACTGTGGTTTTGCATTTCCCTAATGGTTAAAGATACTGAACATCTTTTCATGTGCATATGTATGTGCATATGTGTATCTGTATATCCCCTTTAGTGAAATGTATGTTCATATCTTTTGCTCATCTTTATTTTTTATTTAATTTTATTTTTATAAGATTTTGTTTATTTATTTGACAGAGAGAGAGAGAGAGAGAGAGAGAGAGAGAGAGAGAGCACAAGCAGTGGGAGTGATGGGCAGAGGGAGAGGGAGAAGCAGGCTCCCTGCTGAACAAGGAGCCTGATGCAGGGCTCCATCCCAGGACTCTGGGATCATGACCTGAGCCGAAGGTAGACGATTAACTGACTGAGCCACCCAGGCACCCCTTGCTCATTTTTAAATTGGATTTTTTTTTCTTATTGTTGAATACTGAGTTTTCTTCATATATTCTAGATACTAGTCATTTGCTGGATATGAGGTTTGTAAGTGTATTTGTCTTTTCATCCTTTTCATCGAGTCAGTATATAAATTTTCAATCTTGATGATAGCCAATTTATCAATTTTTACCTCTTATGAATCATGCTTTTTTAAAAAAAGATTTATTTATTTATTTTAGAGGAAGAGAGAAAGCATGGGGGAAGGGGCAGAGGGAAAGAATCTTAAACAGACTCCCCACTGAGTATGGAGCCCAACACAGGGCTTGAACTCAGGACCCCGAGATCATGACCTGAGCTGAAATCAAGAGTTGGTCACTCAACTGACTGAACTACCCAGCCACCCCTGGATCATGCTTTTGATGTCAACTTTAAGAACTCTTTACTAGCCCTACATCACAGAGGTTTTCTTCTTTGCTATTTTCTAAAAGTTTTATAGTTTTACATTTTACATTTAAATCTGTGATCCATTGTAGTTTTTGTTTTTGTTTTTTTTGTCTATAGATGTCCAACTGCTAGAGCACCATTTATCATTTGTTAAAAAGGCTGTCTTTCATCCATTGAATTGCTTTTGTACTTTTGTCAAAACCAGTTATTTGAGGGGCGCCTGGGTGGCTCAGCTGTCTAACTCTTGATTTCGGGTCAGGTCATGATCTCAGGGTTGTGAGACTGAGCCCCGCATCTGGCTTCATGCTCAGCAGGGAGTCTGCTTGGGATTCCGCTTGGGATTCCCTCCCTCTCCCTCTGCCCCTCCCCCCTTCTCTCTAAAATAAATAAATCTTTAAAAATTTCAGTTATTACAATAGTCAAATTCATAGAGAAAGAAAGTAGAAGAGTGGTTATACGAGTGGCTGGGGGAGGAAGAAATGAGGAGTTATTGTTTACTGGGGACAGAGTCTGAGTATGGAATGATACAATCTCTCTGGAGATGGGTGGTGGTGGTGGTAATGATTATACAATAATGTGAATGTATTTAATACCACTGAACTGTAAATTTAAAATGATACTTTGTTATGGGCAATTTTTTCTTCCTCTACAATCAATCTTTCTTTCTTTCTTCCTTTCTTTCTTCTCTCTCTCTCTCTTTTTGTCTTGTTGCAAGGCTTAATCTTCTAATAGTATTTTGAATAAAAGTAGTGTTCTTGATCTTGGAAGGAAAGTATTCAATCTTTCATCGTTAAGTAGAATGTTAGTTGTAAGTGGTCTTTATCAAGTTGAGGAAGTTCTTCCCTTTTCCTAGTTCAATGAGGGTTTTAATCATGAATGGGTATTGAATTTTGTCAAATGCTTCCTCTGTATCAATTAACATAATCATATGATTTTTCTCCAATCCAATGGTGGATTGCATTAATTTCTAAATATTGAGCCAAACTTGCATATCTGAAATGGATCCCATTTGGTCACTGTAATTCCTTTAATATACGTTGGATTAGATCTGCTGATTTTTTTTGAGGACTTCTGTCTCTAAGTTCATGAGAGATATTAGTCTTCAGTGTTTGTTTGGTGTCCGGTCAATACTAACTTCATAATGTGAGTTAGATAGTGGCCCTTCCTCTTCTACTTTCTGGTAAAAGAATGTGCTAAATTGGTGTTCATTCTTTAAACATTTGCTAGAATTCTCCAGTGAAACCATCTGGGCTTGAAGATTTCTCTTTTGGGAAACTTTTAAAGATTCAATTTCCTCAAGGGCTACAAAACTATTTCATCTTGCTTGTCTTTTGGTAATTTGTGGTTTTTGAGGGACTGGTCCATTTCTTCTAAGATTTTGATTTTGAGTATATAGTTTGTTCATAGTATTTCATTATCCTTTTAAGGGAAGCATTATATACAGTGATATTTCCTATTTTATTAATATTGGTGATTTCGTTTTTGTTAGTCTTTCTAGAAGTTTATCAATTTTATTGTTTTTAAAAAGAACCAGCTTTTTGTTTCACTGATCTCTATCATTTTTGTTTTCAATTTCACTGATTTCTGTTCTTCTATCATTTCCTTCATTCTGCTTGCTTATTTTGCTTACTTTTCCAGTTTCTAGAGGTAGAAATTTACTTGCTCTGAGATCTTGCCCTCTTTTTAGATGTAAGCATTTATTGCTATAAATTTTTCTCCCAGTATGGCTTTAGCTGCACTGTACAAAATTTGATTAAGTTGCAGTTTTATTTACATTCTATGTACTTTTAACAATTTCCTTTAATACTTCCTCTTTGACCCATGGATTATTCAGAAGTGTGTGGTTTAATTTTCAAATATTTAGAAATTATCATGTTGTCTTGCTGTTATTAACATCTAGTTTGATTACTTTATGGTCAGAAAAGATATTCTGTATGATTTCAATTATTTTGAATTCATTAAAATTTGTTTTATGGCCCAGGATAAGGTTTATCTCTTATGATTATATCTTGACTTATTTACAGTGTTTTTTCGCATACTGCTTTGTATGGTTTTCTTTGTGGTTTCTTTGGCATTGCAATAACATATGTAACTTATCATGGTCTATTGGGATTGATGTTTTACTATTTTGAATGATGTGTAGAAACCTACTCCCATTAGTTCTCTTCACTCTCATACTTTTAAAAATAAATATTTAATTATTTATTCTTAGTTCTTTAAATTAAAAATAACATAAGTTAAATGAAGAGGACCGCTGATGCATATATGGATTTCATTTTTAAAACAAAGATAATCCTAATCTTCTAGCATAACTAAACCTTATCGATTTTCCTTTAAAATTGTTATTTTACCATTAATAAGTAGTAGTTCTCCCAACTGGTAAAACTCTGACAAATTTTACAAATGAATTTAATTTTAGAACTCTTTTATGATTCAGAGAACAACTGTGAAAATAGTAGACAGTTTCCATATTCCCAACACCCTGTTCCCCTATTATTAACTTCTAACATGAATATGGTACATTTGTCACAACTAATGAATACTAATACATTATTATTAACCAAAGTTCATACTTTGTTCAGATGTTCTTGGTTTTTATCTAGCCATCTGTGTTCTGTTCCAGGGACCCACCCAGAATATTGCAGTATATTCAGTAATTATAATTGGTTGAATAGGGTCCCTTCC